AGAAAAAAAAGAAAGTGGACAACAATAAAAAGCACGTATTTAAGGAATACGTTTTCCATATAATTTGTGTAGAAAACGTATTCCTTAATTACGTTTTTTCAGATTTCTTTACAAAAGAAAACGTATTCAATGAATACATTTTACAATTAAAAAAATGGTAAAACGTATTCACTGAATACGGGGTTTTTATTTTGGTCAACTCTCATTTATTTGTGTATTTTTTTTTTCCACACCTTAATTCTTTTTCAATTTTCTGGTAAAAAATTCCAAGAATTAACGAAGCTCAAAAATTTTAAAAAAAAATTAAATAAATAAATAAACCTACAAAAAAACTTATTTTTTGGAAATTAATTTAGTTTTGATACACAATTTGTCACTTAGACAAGGTGCTGGAACGGTTTTGCTATGAAGCTAACCGTTGGCTCCATAGTGGAACCAACCTTCTATATACAACATATAAACCTACCATATTAATAAAATTATATTATTGTTATTTAAGTAATCCGAGAATATGGTAGGTTTACTTGTTGTATATAGAAAGTTGGTTTCACTATGGAGCCAACTGTTGGCTTCATAGCAAAACCAGGTGCCCAGAATGGCTTGGACATTTTTTTTTTTTCCAACGAAAATAGCATATATTAGATACCTCAAAAGCATACGAGTCCACAGGCTGTTCAACTGAACTACATCACCTACTCTACATATCATAGAGAGGAAGAAATTGGGGCATAGGACAAACTATAACCCCTCTAAGGTCATCTTGGCCAACTTACTACAATCTTCTACACTAACTACACTATTAAAAGAACAATATAAGCAACGTTGTTTAAGCATACAAATATCATCTACCAACAAAGCATTAGACAGGATCCTATCAGCATCTGAGAAGCCAGAATTCAGAGCAGCCACAAGCCTCCCAGAGTTAATGGAGCAGCTCACTGTGGACCAGCCATTCTGCTTTGCCATGTTAAGAGCCCATCTTGGACATTAGACTTTAATTTGTTAACTCCTGTCTTTGGACAGACCTATATGTTTCCATAAATTCGACTTCTTCATGATTTTTGACAAGACATAAAAAGGCCCGCCGCCATTCATTATCTACACTAGAATGCTTCCATTGTGCACTGCGGATTCAATTTATTTGGATGTATGAAGGTCAAATTTTCAATATATAAGTTATAATACACTCGATTACCAAATATTAATATGCATTAGCTAACAAGCACAACATGTAAACAAATCCAACTATTACCTATTGACTATGACATAGAGTCCAATCCAATATATAGATATAAATATTAAAATTATATAAAATATATGAACCTCCTATTTTTCTTCTTCATGGAGCAAAGACATGAAAACAATATCTCATAACTATATATAAATATTGAAATTATATAAAATATATGAACCTTCTATTTTTCTTCTTCATGGAGCAAAGACGTGAAAACAATATCTCATAATTCCCAAACTAGGTTGTTGATTGTAGTGGTTTATATGGGATATTATTATACTAAATCGATTTTAATTAATAACAGGAATATCTTGGAGTATAAGCCCACATATGGGGTAGGAAACATGGTATAATGATACGAGCCAAACTCAACTTAGGGACTATGGTACACTCCTCCTATAAAATGGCTAAGGTATCTCAAAGCCTCATTCTTTCTACATTTATAGCCATACTCTTGAAATTTGGAGTTTTGGAGTGATATTGACTTAGACATCAGGGCCCAACGCCGGGACCCCTCCCGGCGTTAAGTTCTTGCAGGTACGGAAGCTTGTTCGAGTTGAAGGAGCCCGAGGTAAATCCCATTTCACCAACATTGGCGGCATCTATGGGGCTCATTCGAGAAGCCAAACGGAGTTCCGATCGAAAAATTTTTTGAAAAGTTCCCGCAGATCTCCTTCATTTCTATCGGTCGCCGTCGTCGCCTGCCGCCGGCCAAAGTCCTCCGATCGGCAAATTTTTTACGTCATAGGGTAGATCTCCTCGAGGTGAATCTCCCCATAAAATTTTATGCGAAAACTCATCTGGGAAGGCCTTCGATTTAGCCGGTCAAACTTCCCGGATCTAGAAAATTTTGGTAAACATCCGACCTTCAAATGCATTTTTCTGGCGATCCGTGAGGGCTATTAAAAATCTGGGAGCACCATCGAAATTCTCTCGTCGAGGCGAGTCTCCAGCACATGTCCTCCGCCGGCTGTCGTCGCCTCCGCCGCGAAAAATCCTCTGATCGAAATGATCTTTACGTCTTCCCGAAGCTCTTCTCGTGCTCGTTCTATCCTTAAATTTTTCAAGCGAAAACTCCTCTGGGAATACCATCAATTTTGCGGTCAAAGTTTTTGGATCTAGAAAAAAGTGGTGGTCAACTTCGTTGTTCTTCTCCGATTTTACGACAATTTCCGGCGACTCACTTCGAACAGAGGGTACCATCGGAATCTTCTGGTCGGGGCTCACCCTTGGTCGGTTTTCGTCACCGGCCGGCAAGCTCTGTCCAGGGATTTCCTTTTTTCCGACGAATTTTTCTTTTCCGGCAGGTTTCCGCTGTTGTGCGCGCAGCCCATGTTTTTCTGCTAACCCATGTGAGGGGCCCAGGTGTAATCCTAACTTCTGCCCAACCTAATGGAGGGGCTTAGCTTGCGGCCCAACTTAATATAACCGCGGCTCAATGGAGTCAACAGCGGCCCAGTTCACGAAAGCCCATTCCGCAGGGAGTTGAAATGAATGCAGACCGCGCCCAGCCTGCACGGCCTGCATCTCTCACAAACTTAGGCCCGCGAGAGCCCGACCCGCAGCTCGAGCTTTTCACATCTTTCAGCCCGCGCTCTACCTGCTGGCAGCCCGCGATGGCTCAGTCCCAGCCTGCGCGGCCCATTGCATAGCCCGCGCTTACCAGGACCAATGCAACGGCCCAACTGGCCAACCGCGGCCCAGGAGCTTTTTTGCAGTCCATTTTGCACCCAATCTTCTCCAGCTCGAGGCACACCGGTCCAGATGGTCCAGAAGCGGTCCAAATCGGTCCAACTTTGTCCAATAGCCCCGGTTTGAACCCAAAACTAATTCAGAATGACTCATCGCGGACAGGGAGGTAAATTTAGGTAACATTATCTTGGTGGAGGTATGTGATTGATTTAAATTATAGGTTCAAGGGATTATGAAACTGGTGAAATTTGCAAAATTATTTGATTTATTCGTGGAGATTATTTGATTTATTATTGGAGAGATTATCCGAATTATTATCGGAGAAATTATTTGATTTAATTGTGGACATTATTTGATTTATTCGTGGAGATTATTTTATTTAATTGTAAAGAATATTTGATTTGTTCATGGAGATTATTTGATTTATTCGTGGAGATTATGTGATATATTCGTGGAGATTATTTGATATATTTGTGGAGAGATTATGTAATTTATTCGTGGAGAATATTGTATTTATCCGTGGAGACTATTTGGTTTATTCGTGGAGAATATTTGATTTATCTGTGGAGAATATTTGATTTATTCGTTAAGAATATTAGATTTATTCGTGGAAAAAATATTTATTCGTGGAGAAAATATTTGACTTACTCATTGCATTTGGAGAGGAGAACTATATTTGGCAATACCCCTATTGAGCGAGCTTGCTTGAGAACAAATGCGGGTCGTGATTTTGAATTGAAGATATTTTTGTGATTGTTCTTATCGTGTGTTTGGTGGATTTATCGGTGGACTCAAGGAGATGGAGTAAAATTATATAATTCGATATCTTGATATCTTCGAAACCTTTCATTTGGAATTTCATGTGAAAATGTATAATTTTTTTGAGTTGACTATTCATAATTTTTTAAGCATGTCATTGCTCGAGCATGTCTTATATTGAGGAGATGGTGATATTTGTATTTGATCTATTGTTTTTCTTGCGTGGAGAAATGCAAAATGGATGACGTGAATATAATGTGGATAGTGATCTTTGAATTCTTGTCGAAGAAACAATGAAATAACCCGAGTCTAGACAAGCTACGACGGAGAAGTTGTTGAATTTTGAGGACAATATGAGCGAGCATGAATCCATCAAAGCAGTGTGATATTGAGGGACGAGTCTGGATGATGTCGATCGCCGCTGGCAATTTCAAAGGCATAAATCATTCTCTTTTGGAGAGAGATGATAATTGGGGTATTCTCGATCTTCAGGTATAAAATTAATCTCAACTCTTGTCGGCAGTCAAGTTCGACTGACACGATTTTGTGACATATTGAGTCTCTTAGCATTATTTTTTGGAGGAATATTCATTGTTTGAATATTTTGGACAAAATGCTCCTGAGATTGTGGTGTCGATGTGGATGCCTTGGCTGCGGGAAGGGGATGGGAGACTGTCTTGGGAAGTTATTTGTAGATGAAAAGGCAGACTATTGAAGGTGAGAATGCAAAGTTGCTTTTGGTCCATTCTCACCAAATCAGGAGGTGAGAATGCAAAGTTGCTTTTGGTCCATTCTCACTAAATCACAACCATCGTCATGCGGAGGCCTCACTTCCATGGCTGACTGTGAATTTTGGAAGTGATCTTTTTATACAAATTTTTAGTTACATGAAAAAACAATGGGGTAAGAGATGATGGCAAGTTAGGTAAAACTATATCCATATCCTAGTTTTGTCATGGTTAACAAACATCCAACAAATATGAATTAAAATTTATCCGCACAATACAATCCATCCACTAAATACTGACTTAGCCCAATCCCATTATACGAAACAAACAAGCCCTAATCGGATTAAAACAGGGCACTGAACACTGAAATAACTAGTTCATTGAAACAGTATTTGTTTCATCATCTCAACACTTAGCCCACCAAAAACAGACAGAGACACACTTCAACATAAAAGCCAACATAATCAGATTTTTCAATCCACATAACAGAAAGGCCTAACGTACTACTACATTCATAACTTCACCCGTTCACCCGAGAAACAAAATTGTGATGACCAATTTCCCATGGAACATTACACATGGCATGTTCACTCTTTGTTTTTCTTCTTCTTCTCTTTCTTCTTGAGGGTCTCCTCACCTTCCTCCGCATGTTTCCTCTTCTTTTTTTTCTTCTCGCCAGAATTAGCACTGCCCACTTCAGTTTCTGGCTCGGATTGTTTCCTCTTCTTCCCAACAGCTTCACTTTCAGGCTGTGCATCATCACCTTTGGAATCCTTCTTCTTCTTTCGTTTCTTGCTCTTTTGCTCCTCATCTGTAACAGGCACAACAATCACTTCCTCCTCGGCCACAGCCCCATCATCATTGTTTTCTTTCGAAAGAGATTCTGTTAGTCCTAAAATTGCATCTGCAGCTGGATTGTAAGTCTGCAAAAAACACAATAATAATAATAATAAATAAACAGATAAATACAAGTTTTAAACAAGATTGAGGAAGAAAATAATATTCATGATGTTCAGAACTAGAAATCAGACCTTGGCTGGAGTAATCAATCCCCCGGATCCCTTCTTCCTGTCCTTGACGTAAAACTCAATCTTCGGTTTGCCTTTAGCAGACCCCGCAGAACGGCTTAGTTCTTTGCCTTCTAAGCTTCTCAGTCTTGCCTCAAGCTAAACATCGAATTAACATTTACTAATAATAAAATGAAAAATGAAAATACAAAAATAAAATAACAATGCAAACTTTTAACTAATCACATGATAAAATTACCTTGGCTCTGTTCTCCAAGCCCATGGAATTATCCTCACCATCACCAAGTGCATCACATCTAATTGCCAGAGCGGCTTTTGCAGCCAGAGACCGTGAAATTTTACCCTTGTGCTTGGGTGCTGCCTGACCTATTAAGGACGCGTGATATATGAGTCCATATTTTGGTGTCGCATGCTTAGTCTTAAGTGCTCTGAAAAGAGCCTTCTCAGCACCAAGTATCTGGACAGTGCTTCCGGGCTGCTTGGCAAGATTCAATAAGCTGCCTCCGTGGGCAATCAGTCGAGCACCAACGAGTTCACCAACAAGGGCAGTAAGATTTGGGGCAATGGTGTTCATCCTGCTCTTCAAGTAGTCATAGAGTTGTGCTCTGTATTCTGAGAGGGAAAGAACTTGGTTGCACAAGTCTTTGATGTTCTCCAGGTCAAGCTCGCTAACTTCAGTTCCCATGGAGATCATGGCTGCCTCTTTCAATTCTGCCTCTAACTCCTCTGGAAGCACCTGCAACATTTAGGGCGGAGTGAGCACAAAAATTAAACAAATTCAAGTACCACAGGGAAAGAAATGAGATTCACAGATATTTGTCTTTACTTTGTATAGGCTGGCACAAATCAACTTGAGAACATGCATTCTAAAACCAGAATGGTTACTAAGAACCATAGGAAGGCAGAACTAAACATTAGGGCATAACAGCAATACAAATCACAGATTTTCATGAGAATATTGTGTTCGACTTCAGTTGATAAACTTTAATGAGTTTCATATGCTTTCTCGGGGAAAAAAAAATACTAATTAGCTGCTTCTTTGTTTTGCATATTAAATCAATACCTCATCAATATATTTGCCATAACCAAATTAATTATAATGACAGGGGAAAAAAGATGAAGACTACTCTACCTCTGAAAAATCAAGCTTGGCAGCATTTGTTCGATTACCCATCAACTTCACAGTCTTGGCATACATGATATTGTCTTGTATTATCTTTGCAAGTTCAGGGAAATGCCATCCATACCATTCCCTTACCCTCATTGCATATGTATTCAGCTCCTTGTCAAGATCATCCAACAAGCTAATAGCTTGTATGATCATGGTATCAACCTAGAGTAAAACCCATTAAAAGCCACAATTTAGGTACTTCAAATGCATCCATAGAGCAGGAACAATCAAAGGAAAGATAAAACATAATATAGACATGTAACTGATAAATTTAGATACAAACAGAGTGAATTACATACAAACAGGGTAATAATATAACTTATGACTTATAAGGTGAGCGAATTTCACTCCATGTGCAACTGATTGAACAGAGGATCTTGAAAATGAAGGCTTGATCATAAAAATATTCTCTATTTCCTATCATCTTCTACCCCCTTTTACTTTATTCCGGTAGCAGGAATGAAATCTGGCCAATTTCAAAGCGCAGATAAACAATATTATTTTTAGAATGTTTGCAAACAGCAGAAAACAAAAAAGGCCCAAGCTCAATACCAGCCAATGAGCAATGAGCACCAACCTCCATTTTGGGTACTCCTTCAATCAGATACATATGACATCATAGTTTGTTTGTCACTTTGTCTTTCATATTCTACTAGGACAGGCATGTGAACCACTCACATGCTGATAGCTGCAATTTTAGTTACCTAATTATACGTAATGCATCTTTTAATTCATCTCAGAAAGACAAAATGTTCTAAATTGACAAAAACAGAATTTGATTTGTGACCAAGTTCCATTATCAAAATTTTCTAGTACTCATCTTCAAGCATCAAATCCCATTTCACAGCTCAGCTCATCTCAAACAGAACATGCCAAAAAAAAAAAAAAAAAAAAAAAAAAAAAAAAAAACTAGCAGACACATTTAGTGGCACAATAACAAATTTACTACAAATAAATTACTATATCCTCACCTTGTCTGGACTGAATTTCAATTTGTATCTTGATAAGCTGTGAGACAAACCCAGGCTCATAGGTGCCAAATCTTGAGAAGCTAAGCCAGATATAAGTTCAGACAATTGACTCCTCACTCCCCTCATGAGTTCCATGACAGCATTGTTGTGAACACATTCAATTTGCTACACAACATAAATAAAATCAGTTTGCAACCGAAGAAAAATCATTCAGACATTATAATTGCATTGTACGATACAATTAAAGTGACAGTTCTAACTCACCAGCTTCTCTTTGATTATGTTTCCAAGCTTGGAGTCCGCAACAGCTAAAATGTCGCCATCACAATGGCTGCGCAAGAATTTTCGGAGACCTTTGCTAGGCTTACTATCGATTAATAAGGTAGCAGCAGATAAAGCCTCAGACGTATTCTCAAACTTGGAAAAAGCTTTTAGCTTGACAACCTGATAAGTAGGGAAATTATTAATAATTACATCAATCAACTGAATCACATAGCTTAGCAACATCATGCTAAAAGAACCAAGATTAGTCACACAAAACATGCCAAGTCAGATCAATCTGTTTGTATCACACCAAGAAATGAGTCTCTAGAAAGATTAGATTCATATAGTTGTACAAAACTGATAGGACCAAAGTAGATAAACATTTTTCACCGGAAACAACTTCTAACATAACATGTGGTAATTTTAGGAATTGTACACTGTCTTCAGAGTGACATGTTAACACTACTGGCGCAAACACGCCCACACACACACACACACACACACACACACACATATATAGGAAAAATACAAGATGGGTCCATACTCTGAAGGAGGTGTATCCATGCAAAATGAAAAAACTATTTTCCAGAACAGATGTATCCGAACTACCAAAACTAAGTCAATACAAGACTTTCAACAGTTAAATGACCCCATTTACTTCACATAGAACAAGAGCATCGACAAATTTCGCGATACTCAATCTAACACAAACAAACACGCACATTTCAACTCAAGTGCAAATACAGCATGATTTAAGCAAAAACAAATCCAAACTCAAGACCTGTCTGGCGGAGTCTGGGGTCGAAAAGTCTTTCCCGAGGTCCTGCAAAATCCAGAAATATACATATATATACAATAGAAAAGAAAATCAGCAAGCAAGAAACAAAAAATATAGCAAGGATACAAAATCAATGCCAACAAAAGACCTCGATTTTGGAGAGCTTTCCTTCATCCAAGACTTTAAATAGAGCAAACCCAGCCGGAGTTTCAAACAAGAGCAACATTCTTGCTTCTCCTCAACCTAAGAAATGTCTCTCAACTGTCAAAACACAGCAAGCAACTGAGGTCTCTCTTTAGCGTTTGCTTCGGTTTTATAGTCTAGGGCATCGTCGTTTACTTTTTTTTTTTTTTATTTTCATTTAGTGCGGCGGATGAAAAATGGGCCTGGGTATGCGTAGTGTTCGGTATATGGGCCGTCGGATACGTTCTCTATGGAGGGTTTGGGGAAAATTTTATAACTGTCCCATTTCTAATACACATTTCTACAAAGACCAACGGGTATGAGAATTTCAAAAATGGGTATTATGAATTCCAAAAATGCTTGAATAGGAAGTTACATTAATCAAAATTCAAAATAATAACTCTTTTTTTCTCTCTCTTTCTCTTCTCTTTTTTCCTTCTCTCTCTTCCTTCTCACAGTTCGTTTTTTGCTCTGTTCTTTTTTTTTTCTCCTCCTCTTCTTCTTCTTCTTCTTCTTCTTCAAACAAAAAAACCGAAAAAAAAACAATAAAAAAGAATAATCAATTAGTACTACTACGTCTGCAATATGATTTGATTTCCATTAATTTCTGTCATTTTTTCTCAATCTTAAAAAAAATAAAAAAATATAAAATTACAAAATAAACATATATTATAAGAGGTCTGAAATTAGATATAGTCAAAGCGGAAAAGATATAAACAAGATTCTGAGCAACAAATAAGTAATAACACAACAACTAAATATGTGGATTATATTAAAAAAAACTTAAATTGAAAAAGCAACACGAAAATAACATAACATTGAAAAAACAACATGAAAAAAACTTTAAAGCAACATGATAAAAACATGAAAATAACTTAAAAGAAAAGAGAAAAAGTTCATAAAAGCAAACATCCAAAAGAATAATCAAATCCCAAAAAAATCAGGCTATAAATTTAAAAAAAAAAATAAAAATTTGCAAAACTAATCTAAAAAAACAGGCTTTTAATATATCCTGCAAATGATTAATGGAAATTTACTAAAAATCACACAAAAAAAATATAAACATGCAAAACTAAACTTGAACACTCTGCACGAACCACCGTCGACGGGTAACACAGATCCGAAGCAACCAATCCCAGATCTACTAACAGCCGTCGGTGCTCGCCACTCTCTGCCGCTCATGAACCGATACCAAGCGTCAGGCGACTCAGGCCCTTGCTCAAACCACGCAATTGGTAATGAACTTCAGTTATAGAAATACAAGGAATTGGGATTGGGTCACTAAACGAAGAATTTTTCTGTTAATTTGCGATAATTATTTTTAAACATGAGAAATCTGGAAAGAGGAGACGAAGAGAAGAAAAGAAAATAAAAAGAAGAAGAAGAGATATAATTAAAAGATAAAAGAAAGAGAAAAAAGTAGGAAAAAGGATTGAAGAAAGAGGGAGAAAGTTGTGGGAACGGTTAATGGGATAAAGGGGTATATATGAAAATGAAATGGAGTAAAATTGTATAAATAGTGAATAGGCCTTTTATTGTAAAATGTGTAAATAAATAGTCAAGGGACGTCTCAAACAGACCCACATATAATTGAGGAAATTACGTGGTGCACTATATATTGACAACTTTATTATATTATTACTAGCCAGATTTATTTGCAAAGGAACTAAAGATATATATTTTATTTACAAATATATCAAAAAATTAATATAGAAATTAATTTTATAATAAATTTGGTAACATCAGTTTTTTAGAAAGTTATTACAAGTGATTTATCTCTCTCACCTTCTCTGAACATACTACCAACGATGGGAAAGGTGGAGAAGAAAGCCATATCTCAAAAAGCTCTATCCCAGTCGCAGTTCTGGCTGAGCACGACGAATTTGGTGCGGCAGAAGATCGAGGACAAAGAGGAATTGCACGAAGTGCAGGGGAGGGACAGCACGTGCTTCCTGAAGAGCGGGTTTGTGGAGTGTACCTCGAGGTCACAACGGAAGCAGAGCTTGGCCGAGTCGGCGAGGCAGTAGAGTAAAGCTAACGATTCTTCATGATTCTTCATAGAAATCGCACAACTGGTCGGTTGTCTCGTCGGAAACGTAGTTTTCTTGGTCTGGTGCGTTCATGGCGGTGATTTTTTATTTTTTATTTTTTCCTTTCCCCCTTTTTTACCTTTTTTTTCTTCTGTGTTTAGGTGATCATTTGATGGGTTTGGATTTTCAGCAAAAGATTATCAAAAGATGGGATTTTGAGTCATGGTTTAAGTGTTGTGGCCGTGTAGTGTAGAGAAAGATAGTGGGAAAAGGGGACAAATCCTTAGGGCAAATCCAAGCACAACAAGAAAACATGTTATTAATTCTTCCTCATATTGTATCGGTCTCCCTGTAATTGAAACTTTTCAGTTTTTGTATGATTTATATTTAGTATAATTTCGGTATATTTTTATTCATCATATTGTGTCGTGTTTGTATCGGTCCCCCTGTTATATGTATGGTTTATATTTAGTATATCTTCGGTATATGTATGGTTTATATTTAATAAAATAATAGAAAACATATACATTACATCTACCACCATTGCGGTTTGTATTGTAAGTATATATATCGACATTATATTTTATATATTCATTATATATACCGGGATTATGTTTTATATTTACTATAATCACTTAAATATATACATTTTTTATGGTATATTTTATGTATATATATTAAACATATACTGAATATATACTAACATAAACGCAACATATACCCGCCCCTGGACACCTGTGTGAATTACAATACATGTTTTTTTTCCTTCTTTTTTTGGTATTTGTAATGGAATACACACGACAATTAAGGGTGGAGCATTTTATTTGTATGGTTATTCAGGGTTTATAGTTAGTATATTTTCAGTATATCGGTATATTCTCAAAAGAGCAACATTTTAAAAAAACGATTAAAATAAACTATATATATATATACCATAAAAAACTAAAAAATCCATTTAAGTGTGAATGATATGGTAACTTACTTTAGACATTAATATAGATAAATTAGGTATAAACATAATATAGAATGTGATATGTGTTATAAAATGAGGGGAATATAAAGAACACAATGTATAAAAACTGGATATAATTTCAAACTGTTCTTTCTATCTTCTTTTTTTTTCGTTCCTGTATCTCCAAATGTTGTACATACATTGCCTTTTATAGGCAAAGTTGGCACGCTTTTCAATACGAATTAAATATAATAATGTAAAGATGATAAGATTAGGAGTGGTAAATTCCACTTTTACATAACACTCCTCCTTGGAATTACCACTACTAAATGTGCGTTATGCTGCCTCGTTAAAAACCTTATCTGGAAAAACACTGTGGGAAAAAAAATCGAGATAAGGAAAAAAGAGTACAGCCGCACATACTCCCCCTCGAGTTATCATTCGTGCAAATCCCAAAGATGTTTCATCCCAATATTGTGTACGTGCTTTCGAAATATTGTCGTCGGAAGTGCCTTCGTAAACAAATCTGCTGCATTATCGCTTGATCGAATGTATTGAACTTTGATTTGTTTGTTCCTTTCAAGCTCTTGCGCATACGAGAAGAACTTTGGCGGGATATGTTTAGTTCTGTCATTCTTGATGTATCCTTCTTTGGTTTGAGCGACACATGCTGCATTGTCCTCGTATATCACCGTCGGGTCATTATTATTCGATAGTCCACTGGCTTGCTGAATATGTTGAGTCATGTTTCTGAGCCAGATGCTTTCCCTAGTTGCTTCATGAAGTGCGATGATCTCAGCATGGTTTGAAGATGTCGCAACTAATGTTTGTTTCTGGAAACGCCAAGAAAATGCAGTTCCGCCAATTGTAAAAACGTATCCAGTTTGAGATCTTGCTTTATGGGGATCTGAGAGATATCCTGCATCTGCAAAATCGATTATTTTTTATCGTTGGAGTAAAACAGTCCCAAATCGATTGTCCCTTGGAGATAACGGAATATGTGCTTGATTCCATTCCAATGTCTCCTCGTAGGTGCCGAGTTATATCTTGCTAATAAATTGGTAGCAAAAGATATATCTGGTCTGGTACAATTAGCAAGATACATAAGAGCTCCTATGGCACTCATATATGGTATTTCAGGACCAAGTATTCATCTTCTTCACAAGGTCGAAATGGATCCTTTTCAACATCTAATGTTCGATTGACCATTGGGGTACTAAGTGGATTCGCCTTGTCCATATTGAATCGTTTCAGTATTCTTTTAGTGTAATTAGATTGATGGACAAATATCCCATTTTGGACTCGTTCTATTTGCAAGCCGAGACAATATGTGGTCCGTCCGAGATCTTTCATTTCAAATTCGCCTTTTAGTAAAGTGACTGCTTCTTGGATTTCATTTGTAGTCCCAATAATATTAAGATCATCGACATAGACAGCAATTATCACAACTCCATCTTGTGATCTTTTTATAAAAACACACGGGCATATTTGATTATTTATGTATCCCCGTTTCAGTAATTGTTCACTCAAACAATTATACCACATACGCCCGGATTGTTTCAAGCCATACAATGATCTTTGCAGTTTTATCGCACATAACTCTTTAGGTTTGGACTTTAGTGCTTCGGGTATTCTAATTTCTTCTGAAATTTTCATATAAATGTCCGCGTCTAGCGATCCATATAAGTAAGCAGTCACAACATCCATGAGACGCATCTCAAGATTTTTATGGATGGCTAAACTAATCAAGTATCTGAAAGTAATTGCATCCATAACAGGGGAATATGTTTCATCATAATCGATTCCAGGCCTCTGGGAGAATCCCTGTGCTACAAGGCGAGCTTTATATCTTGTGATCTCATTTTTCTCATTTCTTTTTCTAACAAAAACCCATTTGTACCCAATAGGTTTTATGTCTTTGGGTATAATGGTTATAGGTCCAAAAACCTTTCGTTTATTAAGAGAATTTAACTCGGCTTGAATTGTTGGAACCCACGAGGATCTCGATATGCACAAATCACAGACAAACATTCAA